AAACTCATTTTGAGCATTACTTTGGTGCAGTCTTATTACCACACCATACTTTACAACTCGCAACAGAGATACTCTTGTTTTTACCATTTCTGATGTTGCTTAAGATTTAAGGTTTTTCAGGAGAATTAAAGGATGCATCTGATGAGTATGAAGACATTATTCGATTTATTGTTTCTCTGGCTGACTTTGATGCTGCAGAAAAGAAATTCCTTTACAAAAAACGTCTTTTTCGGTTACAGGAGCCTCTTATAATAACTCAGCTGAAAAATGTGCGACATTTTCCTTCCTTATCTTCTCGAGTTTCCTCCTAGTGTCGCTGATGATTCAAGTTCTTTTTAAATTTATTTCTTATATAGTGATATAATAAATTGATTTATTTTCAGTGTAATTGGAAGCTAACTTGTTACAGACTATCCTTATAATTCATTTTTTAGAACAAGTAGTAGAAATCTTTATCTTGATTTATTTTGTAAAAAAATCAAAACACACATTTCTTAAAATTAAAAAAAATTACGAAACTTGGTTTGTATTGAACCTCCAGTGTAGTTTTTATGCTCGCTACTTTTGATAATGTCTGTGAGGACCGTAATATTTTTCGTAAAAAATTTAGTGAATGCTGTCTATGTAAGATATTTTCAGCAATCGCTTAAAAAATCAAATACGTGGGAACTCAAACCAGCTAAAGCTGTTCCAGACGGTTAGAGCATCATGTTTTCTCTAAATTTCATTTTGTACTCAATATTGTTTATAGCTTGACAACGTTTTTTCTGTAGCTAAAGTGAAAGAAATTTTTCTGCAGAACTTTCGACGCGTCATTCTATAAACAGCTCTTCTACACAGATGTCTGGAACTACTGATTTAAAAATCGTTGATGCAAGAGGCAATCGGTGTTGGTATTCTATTACGCCGGCTATGTGTAAGATGTACGGATCATGTACAAAATTGTATATGGTAATTTAATTACTTGGGTGTCAGGTAATTAAAGGTGACAAATTAAGTAGATTTGTATAACTTGTTCTGTAGAAAACCAATGTATGAAAAATCTAGTCATTTTGTTACTATTTCTTCTAAGAAACTTCTATTTAGATGGCTAGTTCTACCTTTAGGAGTGTTACTACTACTTCCTGAAATTTTTCTTGTAAGCCGGGTTGACTCTCTCAAATCATGCATGTGGCGTGAAATAAGTTTACCACTTGGATATTCCTGTTAATGTTAGTCGTTCTTTAGCGAGGAAATTATTCTGATTCTTCTAAAAAAGTGTTGTTTTTTGATGGCAAATAAGGAATCAGATTTTCATTTGAGAGTGATTTATTATCTTGTAAATACAGAGGATATTGTCTTACGTAGTTATCCTTTTTCCAGTTTATTTCCAGGAGCTTGAAGAGTTGCTTGATAAATGGATATCTAGCGAAAAAATGGAGGAATAGATGATCTTATTTTAAATTGTGTGCCTTTTCAATGAACAACTTATAATTTTTTTGAATCTCGCTAGTTAACAGAATATTTCCTGATTTACGACTCGAATGGAGAGCCTAACGAATAGAATTTTTACCAAATTATAACTTCAAAGTGCAAAAACTTTCTTTTTTATGCCACATGAGTTCCTCTCAGGTCCTTCAGTTCTGTATTGTTTTTAGAAGTACCTACTTTTGAAACAGAAGAAAAACTTGTGTTTTAAGTGTCTAAATTAAAAAGAATTTTCACTGTTTATATACGTAGAACTGAGGTGCAAGAAAATTGATTGTTGTAGATGCGTTGCAAATAAGTGGTTCTTAAATTTAAAAAAAAAAAAAAAAGAGTTTTAAGAAGGGTTCTTCGCGCTAAAAAGTAAGAAATTTCAGTGATGTAGTTTTACATAGACATTGTGTAGATATTTTTTTAATTCTTATTTTATGAAAAGAAGGTTTTTATTTTACTCTAGGATCAGTTGGTTCAATACTCAGAAAATAAGATTACAGAGCATGAGGGAAACATTTTGCAGAAAATAGAAATTCTTTACTGTTTGGTAAGGTATAACTTAAAGAAAATTTATTTTTAATGGCAAAG